CAAAAGATACTCTGATTGCTGTAAAATGTCACTCATTTACGTCCATCCTCATCACAGTATCAACAACAACAAAATGCAGGTAATAGCATAGTCTCTTATTCAAAGCAGATTAATATTTATATCTTTTTCTTCAATTATTACTGTTAAATATACAAAACAGTTTGCTCAAAACAGTTTGAATTATACTTCCATACAATTACTGGCATTTTAAACAAAATATTTCAAGTAATGTAGAAGGAATATATACTCATGTACACACCACCACACCACCTTAATGATAGAAAACTCTCTGTGGAATTGTCTACTACCTCATTTCTCCCCTCCCTCGGTGGGCAAGTGACTGAAGTTCCTTCTCATTCTTGCTTTTATACTTTTCCTGTAAAAGTTTGTATCTAGATACAATATTATGTACTGTCTTGGATATTTTAAATTTTTTTATAAATACTAGCTTATATCTGGGATTTGCTTTTACTCTTTGCTCTAAATTATGTTTTCTGATAATTAGACCTGTGGATACATATAGCTTTAGTTCATTCATTTTACTTGCTACATAGTATTTTATTGCATGACTACATCATGATTTTGTTATGATCCACAAAATCAAATGCTTTTGCATAGTCAATAAAACACAAGTAAACATCTTTCAGATATTCTTTGCTTTTAGCCAAGATCCATCTGACATCAGCAATGATATCCCTCGTTTCACGTCCTCTTCTGAATCCAGCTTGCATTTCTGAAAGCCCTCTATCAACATACTGCTGCAACCATTTTTTTAATTATCTTCAGCAAGATTTTATTTATGTGTGATATAAATGATATTGTTCGATAATTTCCACATTCTGTGGGATCACCTTTCTTTGGAAAGGGTACAAATATGGATCTCTTCCAGTCAATTGGCCAGGTAGCTGTCTGCTGAATTTGTTGGCACAGACGAATAAGTGCCTCCAGTGCAGCATGTTTGTTGAAACATCTCATTGGGTATTCCATCAATTCCTGGAGTCTTGTTCTTCACCAATTCCTTCAGTGCAGCTGCATAGTTTAAAATCAGGAAGGGAGTGTGTCAGGGTTGTATCCTTTCACCATACTTATTCAATCTGTTTGCTGAGCAAATAATCTGAGATGCTGGGTTATATGAAGATCGTTTTATCAGGATTGGAGGAAGACTCATTAACAAACTGAGATATGCAGATAACACAACTTCCCTTGCTGAAAGTGAGGATGACTTGAAGCATTCACTGATGAAGATTAAAGACTACACTCTGCAGTATGGATTAATGACATCTCAACAAAAATAAAACAAAAATCCTTAATAAGCAGCATCACGATAAATGGAGAAAAGACTGAAGTTGTCAAAAATTTCATATTACTTGGTTCCACAATCAACATCCATGGGAGCAGCAGTCAAGACATCAAATGACATATTGCCCTGGGCAAATCTGCTGCAAAAGAACTCAAAGGTACTGAAGAATAAAGATGTCTCTTTGAAGATTATGGTGCGCCGAACCCAAGCCATGGTATTTTACAATTGTCTCATCTATATGTGAGAGGTAAACAGTGAATAAGGAAGACCTAAGAAGAGATGATGCTTTTGAGTTGTGGTGTTGGCGAAGAATACCAAGGGTATCGTGGACTGCCAAAAGAACTAATAGGTGTGTCCTGGAAGGCCAGAATGCTTCTTTGAAAGTGAGAATGGCCAGACTTCATCTGACCTACTTTGGTCATACTGTCAGAAGGGACCATTCCTTGGAGAAAGATATCATGCTTGGTAGAATGGAGGATCGATGAAGAACGGGAAACCCTTAGAGAGAGAGATTGACACTATGGCTGCAATAGTGGGCTCGGTATAGCAAGGATTGTGAGGCTGGCACAGGACCAGGCAGTGTTTCATTCTGTTGTACATAGGGTTGCTATGAGTTGGAGGCTAACTTGATGGAACATAATAATAACATATCATGATTTATTTAAAGGATATATCGATTTTGAGATTTGGCTGGGAGGAAAAGAGGGAAAGTCCTGGAAGAATCTGGGATCAAGAGGCTTGGTGGATTGCTTAATCTTTAAAAGGAGGCAGAATTGTTGGGAAGAAGGAAGGTAGTAGCTGAAATCCAGGTATGCAAGGAACGTGAAGTAGAGATGAGATCTCTAGCCTTGAAGAAAATGGTAAAAGACTGGGAAACCTCTAAAAACTTGATCTGGGGTCACTTGGTTATTTCATAACATCTTGCCTGGAAAGCATTTCCCCTGATTTCTCTTGTGTGCTGTCCTTTGCATCACTGTCATCGTCATCATCATCATCATCCTCATCATCATCATGGTCATGGTCATTATCATCATAATACTATGATCTGATTACTGCCTATGCTACTTCTTAAAATGTATATGAAACAGCAGGATCTTCAAGTTGGTTCTTGTTAAAATCATTGTAAATTATAAATCAGGGGGGCCTGAAATTTGTTTTCTAGACAGAAAACAGTTAGCTTTTCCATACTTTTAATTATTAATGAAAATAAAAGCATATTTTCTGCATGCTTTTATTTGTGGAACTCTAACTTTATGTTTTTATATATACATGATTACAGACATAAAAACTACCATTAAGTTTATTTAAAACAACACTCAAAAGTCAATTGAAAAAAAAAATCTAATAAATCCCTAAATTTCAGAATGATGTAAATTTTTAACATTATCCTTCAGGACATACAAATTAGGAAGCAGCAGATACAATGAAATGAGGTGCCTTCCTCTAACAGCCTGGTCTTTTGGACGGTGCACACTCTCTGACAAGCTCAATCACATCACTGTGTAACCAAAGACAATAAAGAATGCAGCAAATTCTGTGCGCTGGCTCAGTGTCAACATGGAAAAAAAGCTCAACGCAACAGCAGGATCAAATCCTCTGTCTTTCTGGGAAGAGAGTATAAAAAAAATTGAAAGCAATACAGGAGGCATCCGTGCAGTGAACAAACTGAAGAAGTGTTAACCGGTCTAATAGCAGGGGCCATTACGTTGGCTAAGCAGTATCTAATAAAGATACACTTAGGCCCTTTTTCTGCTAACCAGAAGGTTGGCGGTTCAAACCCACCAGCCACTCCTTGGAAGGAAGATGGGGCAATCTACTTCCGTAGTGATACTGCCTTGGAAACCCAAGGAGGGGTCGCTGTGAGTTGGGTCCAACTCGACGGCAACAACAACATGCCCTTTTTCATTACATTTGTATTAAAAACATTCTAGCTTTAAAAAAAAAAAAAGTATTTTTTTTTAAATCATAAAAAAGTCTTGCATGAGAAGAGTAATTACTGGCATGATGTATGTTATGCACTGGAAACGAGCAATACAGAGTTCTAGAACATCTATGTGAAGTATCATTAATACTTTTTGGAATATTTGTATTTAATAGTAAATATCATGTTTACTTTTGGTCTCACTGGAAGGTACTGATTTCTCTAGAAGTCACTAAAACAGAATAGATTCATGTTGACATACAAACTGTGCTTTATTCCTATCATTTGATTGATAGGATCAATTGACTTTCATCAGGCAGAGGATGTTAAGTGGCTCAGATGTAATTCTTTTTCTCTTACTTTTCAAAACATGGGCTCCAAGCAAATGTGTATCATCCTTTTCTCTTTAAATATTCCATTCTTTCAAGTAGAGAAGTATCAGTAATTTCTCTTTTTGCCATTTCCCCAAGAACTCATGGCTAACATTAACAGAAGTGATAATTAACTCATGGCAAAAAGGAGAAATGGTCCTTAAATAGATATAAAACATCTATTTTTGGTAATAATCATTATCTTAATAATTTACAGGAAGAGTACTAATGTCATAACACAGAAATAGAACAATATAAATACAATTCAAACAAAGGTTCAAAGAAAGATGTGACTTAGGTTCTAAAGTTTTCAAATAATGTATAGTAGACCAAACTGTCATGCTTTAAACCTTAAATAAAAATAGAAGGGAAATTTCAAAAAAACCAAACCAAACTCACTGCTGGCGAGTCGTATCCAACTCATAGCGACCTCTTCTTGGGTTTCCTGAGGCAGTATCACTACAGAAGTAGATTGCTCAACCTTCCTTCAGAGAAGTGGCTGGTGGGTTTGAACCGCCAGCCTTCTGATTAGCAGTCAAATGCCTTAGGCACTGCACCACCAGAGCTCCTTAATAGCATGTTGTTGTTGTTATGTGCTGTCAAGTCGGCCCCGACTCATAGCGACCCCTCCTTGGGTTTCCGAGGAAGTATCACTACGGAAGTAGGATTGCCCAACCTTCCTTCCGAGGAGTGGCTGGTGGGTTTGAACCGCCAGCCTTCTGGTTAGCAGTCAAGTGTTTAGCCACTATGCTACCAGAGCTCCTAATAGCATGTTAGAGACAGCTAATTTCATTCTGCAATTTACTAGTTGAAAAATCTATGGTTTATGAAATATATATCATTGGCCTTAAACATAAAAAGTTGATACATACTATAAAGAAATTAAATCAAGATTCAGAAATCTGCTATTTTAATCATACAAGAGCATTACATGAATTAGTTCATGAGATCTGGATCTAATAGCACAAAGTTGAGCTGATACAGCCTTTTTCAATTCAAATAAGAGTACATAATTTACTCTGCACAAAATTTATGGTATAAAGAATGATAATGAATTTACAGATTATATAGAAAAGCAGTAATTCTTGACTCAGATCAATTTATACTATCTGCAGACCAAGTAACATTTTTGCTCACTTATATAATATAGGATTTTGTTAAAAAGTTTAAAATTATTCTAGGAATATATATGAATTTTGGTTTACACTGCCCATAAGGAAAACACTCTGGAAATTATTTTCAAATCATTAAAATATGACTTTTATGAATAAATTCAATATATTTTATTTTATTAATTCAGTTGCTTATCATTAATCTTCTACTTGTCACTAAAACCTAGTAAGTCAGAGAATAATCATATTACAAACAATATAAAAAGAAAATAATAAAATAAAATAATACTACTTACAAACTTCCTCTTCTGGGGAGACTCAACTCCTTCTGCAAAAGAAAAAAAACACACACACACATATATATGGATGTAACAACAACAACATATTAACCTTAGACTATTAGAACACCAAATGGATAAGATAAAATGTAATCATGCTTCATTATTCTTGATTTGGCCTTTCCAGTACTGAAAAGATTTTAATGTCATCAATTTACGCCACATGTCTTCTTATTCCCTTTATACATTGTGTTTAAGGTATGAACACTGTTTGCCTGAATTCCAGACCAGAAAGGCCATCAGTCCTCCCAGAACAACGATAGTAAAATGCTGAGTTACACGACACTCAAATTGAGTATAAGAAAAATCTGAGGAACCAAAGAATTGATCCAAAAGGAGCTAGATAAAAGAACTAAGAAGAGAATATTTGCAGGTTTATGGCGGTAGCGTAGTGCCTAAGGCACTTGACTGCTAACCAGAAGGCTGGCAGTTCAAACCCACCAGCCACTCCTCGGAAGGAAGATGGGGCAATCGACTTCCATAGTGATACTGCCTCGGAAACCCAAGGAGGGGTCACTATGAGTTGGGTCCGACTCGACCGCACACAACAACAACAAAAATAAATGATTAAAGGACAATTTAATCAACAAAGAAATTCATGCAATACATCAATCACAGCAAAGATTATACTTTATTATTTAAAAACAGATAATGAAAAATATTTCCTTCTAGCATGATTTCTCAAAGCCCGTATGATTTACTACTTACAGTATTTAAAAATGGGCTAATGAATGCAAGAAAGGTAATGAGACAGGAACAACAATTAGTAGAGGGCTTTGGTACAGTAGAGGGTTAGTGAAAAGGAGAGAAATCTCTAAGATGGATTGACACAGTGGAGATGCAGGTTCAGGTGATGTTTCATTCTGTTACACATAAGCTCGTCATGAGTTGGAGCAACTACCAATTACAGTTTTAAAAGAGGACTCTCATACTAACCTTAGAGAAACAATGGAAAATCAAAACAAAACAAAAAAACAAATCAACCAGCCAGATAAGCAGACAAGATAACCAAAGAAATAAACAAAAACGAATTCAGAAATACCTCTACCCACTACTGAATTTTTCAGTATCAGTGTATTCAAGAAGGACTATTTGATAACAATAATTAGGGAATAGGAAGCAATGAGTCATTGAGGCTATTTAAACTCAAAACGAGTGCATTACAAAGTCAGAAAGATTAGGCTAAACTTGATTATCCATTCTCACAATTGTCATCTATTTTTTTGCCTTCCAAGAGCTGGAGTACTAACTCTTGAAAGGTGTTTCTCCCTCAGATTCATATATATCTTTCCTGTCCCTTATTTTTATTGTATCCTTAAATGTTTCCTGTATACAGCAGCCTCAGATCTTACTTATAACCAGTGCAAGTTACTTCAGCATAGCTTACAGATAATGACCATTGAGGACAGCTCTGTGACATCTGCTTTATATACGGGATGCCTGACTTATCAACTGGCACATCTATTTCAATACAGAGTTATAACACTCATATTACTGTTTATTAGCAAGATGAACAATCACCTACGTTAGGAACAGAGTGCCTTCCCCCTTCTCCCAATAGCTGACGTCTGTCTTTTCAAAAGCTGTGGAATTCAGTGATTAAGTGCTTTATTTTATTTTATTCTTTCCTGCTTGATTAGCTCTCAAGAATTACAGTGTTGAAGAACTTGGCTTGCTGATTTGGCAACATAAATATACCTTCATTTACTAAAGTGTCCAATGACAAAGCAATAGTCTCTGACCAAAACAGTTTTCCTTGGGAACTGAAATGTAAATCGAAAACAAGTGATTTTCTATATGTGTGTGTTTGGTTATGACAAGCACTGAGGAATCAGTTTTGTAGACAGCAAAATATCCTTGTAATAACTCCCTAGAGGACTTTCTTTTAGAAAGGAACTATTGAGATCTGCTTTTATAAAGCAAAGGCACAGGCTCCAAATGGGTAAATACTGTTCTGTCCAAAAAGTTGATGGGACAATAGCATAAAAAGAAAGACAGGGTGTGTGTGGTGCTGTCATCAATAAAAAAATAAATAAGATCTTGTGCAAACAGATTGTTCAAAAGATACAAGAAAGAAAGGCCCAAATGAACGGTTTCAAATAGTCCCAATCAATAATATTCCATCCACTGACCCCACCATAAGCTGGCTGCTTTACTCTGAGAAAAAGCTGCTGAAACAGCAAGATAAGGGATAAAAACCCACTCTGTTTTTAATCAGAAGTGTATCCAGTGGGTCTAGAATTATGAGTTCTAAACAAGGAGAAAGGTTATGGTGGGTAACCCAGGACTGCTGCTCAATGGGACAACAGCCGAGATTCCAAGATGAGGAGCAGAGGATATTTAATAGGCCACTGTCAACTGACCTGAAGCTACCACGCTAACCAAGCTGAAGGAGCTAATCCACCTGGCGGCTTGAATGTCAGGCTCAGGACTGGAAACTCAATTTGGCAGCAAATTGGAATCAGATGTGATGGTAATAAAGTGAGAGAAATGAATGTGCTGTGGCCAAGACCTTGTGAACAGTAGCCGTGAAAGTCTGCAAATACCAGGCGGGCAAAGCAATTGAAGACTGAGCAAGGAGTGGCTACAGCCCTAAAGTATGCGGCCCACATGCTGATAAATCTCCACCAGTGAGACATAAAGGAACAGCATCAAGGCACTTCACCGCACAGGCCCTGTGGTACTTTGTATATATGTCTTCATTTTATTCTCTTAATGTCAAGATAAGGTCACTAACGCAAATTTAGATAGTTAGATAAGACATGTTGTGTTGGTACAAATCATAAACCAAGGCTTGTGCTTAATAAATGGGGGACGTAGATTAAAACTAGTGTCGAGTAAGAATTGAAGAAGGGAGAAAATAAAAAAGGACAAGAAGCATCATCTGAATTAAATACTATATTAATTCTTAACCATTGCAGGACTAAAAAAAAATCATAACAAGATATTTAAGATTAAAATCTGAAAAATTATTTTCATTGATACTGATTATTCAGTGAGTTCATATTTTTTGGAGCTGCTGTCTATCGTTATTTGCTTGATATTCTAATATCCTCTGCCCCTTTTTAAAAGTGCTAACTAGCAGATATTTATATTGAAAACCAATGTGAAATATTAATTTAGTTTGAGACCCCTGTGATTTTCTGAGATTCCTTGTTAATATTGAGGAGACTCAAGAATTTCTCAAATCCAGGAGGAAAATTCACGGAGTGGGACAATAAGGACATAAAACCTTTGGCCAAACATGGCCTCAAAAGGAGAAAATAATGAAGACAGTAGAGGAAACTGCAATGTTTTATATGCACAAGTAATTCCCCCAATGTCAATTTAAAAAATATTGATAGTATTTAATCAGTATTTAATAACTATATAGACACAAATAAAACCATACGGCTACACGTGCCACATGTGTTTAGATAATCTTTGGATGATTCTTTTTTAATTGATGGATAAGTTTATAATTTTAAATGAAAAGAGATTTACAGAAGAATTACAAATACGTTATGTAGACACTCCCCCTGCCCCTGGAGGTGGAGTTTAATTCCCTCCCTTTGAGAGTGAGCAGGACTTGGTGACTCCATTCCAGAGAACAGAGTAAAGAAAGGAAAACTTGGCAGACACTACAGTAGGGTAACTGTGGATATCTAAAGATGGCGACAGTCCTAACAAGCCACTATAGGGACTTGCAGGGTTGTCCTGTTTTGACCATTGTTTTTGCAGACACGCTGGGCTGTAAGCCAAGCTTTGAAACAGCCCTGAGGTATTTACAAGGACACCTGGACTCAGAGCTCTGCTTCCTGGAACATAGGAGTGTAGCAATGGAAGCTGAGGGTCATCTGAGCCTTGACAATGAGCCTCTTTTGTGTACTCCAGTATACTCACCTATAGTTTTAGAGCAGTGAGGTTCTCTCTTTCCCTGCTCATCCAGCCTGCCACCCCTGGCCTCCCTGTATGTGAGTCTCAATAAATCCATGTCACAGAGTACAGTCTGGGTCATTTCTTCAGTCTCTCAGCCCTTAGCATGAGTACTTCCCTGAATTCACTGGGGATTTCCCCTTACAACTCTCTTAACCAAGTGATAAAAGTTAACATCACCAATGAGAACTAAAGCTGATACTATATACTCCCTTGATGTAACTGATGAGATGGTTACTTCACCTCAGTATTATTCTTTCCGTGAGACTAGAACTGGATGGTACTCGACTACCATTAATAAATATTTTCATAAAGGATTATAGAGAAGAATGCTAATCAAAAGAGGGAAAAGCAGAATAAAATTTCAAATTCTCATGGACTCTGGACTTTCTGGAGCCATGGAGGTTGGATGAATCCCTGAAACTATTTCCCTGACATCATCTTGAAACCTTAAACCAAAAATATCTCCTGAAGTCTTCTTAAAACAAACAAACAACAACAACAACAAAAAACCAGTTTAGTTTAACTACTAAAAAAGGTCTGCCTTGAACATTATGCTCTTTGTAGAACTATCTATATGGGAACAAATGGACAACAGCCAACTCAAAAGACTGGATAGGAATCTTAACAGGCAGTGAATCTATGTTAATGGAGGAGGAACAACTTAGAAAAGGAGAGTGAGAACGGTTGCACAACTTGAAGAATGTAATCAATGTCACTGAATCATACACACAGAAATGGTTGAACTCGTGTATTTTTGTTGTGTACGTTCCCAACAAGAAGATGACAAATAAAATTATTTTAAAAAATTCACTAACTCCAGCAGAAGACATGCATAGACACTTCACCAAGGAGGATATTCAGGCAGCCAAAAAACATATGAAGAAATGCTCACGATCATTAGCCATTAGAGAGATCAAATCAAAACAACAATGAGATACCAATCTAGCCCTAGCACTAGCAGCCAAGTTCAACAAGACAGAAAATAACAAATGCTGGTGAGGATGTGGAGAGATTAGGACTCTCCTACACTGCTGGTGGGACTGTAAAATGGTACAACCACTGTGGAAAGCAG